GGGGTGAGGGGGGCTCTTCACAAAGCTGATTAGGCATCAGAAAATGAATGCAGAGCTCAACTGTGAGTTTGGGATGGCAGACTCAGAACCCTTCCTTGATGAGTCTTCTATTCCAAGTCTGAACTGCTAACATGCCTGTGGCTCAGTAGACTATGACACAATCCTTCAATGATGATATGAGAGATGACATTGGAAAGAGGACCTGAGACAGCCTCCAGTGAGAATCAGAAGGAAGAAAAGAGACACTGTGCAAACACAACAGGAGAGACAGTGATTACAATGAACAACTGGCTATGGTAAATAACTTATTTTTTGTTGTTGTTTTTTTCAAAAGAAAGTATTCAATAATAAAAGTTCTATTTCATTATAGAAATAATAAAAACTGTAATAAAAGCAAGCTGAAGTAGTCTCATCTCCATCACAAGTCATTGTTAAATATTTTGATGTTTCCAGATCTGAATGTTAGGATGTGTGTACGTATATATAGTTCTTGCTTGTGACTGTGAGACCAGAATCACATAAAACACAGTGTTAATGCTGAGACAAGCTACCAAACCCTTTGGGGCCTTGGTTTACTGACCCATGAAGTGGTACTGATAAAACCTGCTCTGTAGGGTTATGTAGGGCTATTGGGAGGATGGGATGAGGTCAGAGGTAAGAGGTGGTCCAGTGACTGGGGCCTAGAAGACTTACCACTGCTATCACAGAGACATTTTACTCTCTGATTTTGAATTATAAGCTGCTGGATAGTGTGTGTGTGTGTGTGTGTGTGTGTGTGTGTGTGTGTGTGTGTTTGAGGGTGTTGTTATACAACCCTAGGGGAACTTGGAACTTGATATGTAGCCCAAGCTAGCCTTGGATTTGAAGTAAACCTTTTGTTTCAGACTTCTAAGGATTAGGATTACATAGGATTGCATAGTAGGTGTGTGCTACTACACGCAAGCTTATAGTTTTAAAACAGTTAATATTTTAGCAACAGAACGTTCTAAATAATGAAATGCTAAAGCTGAAATTTTTGGCAAAGGGGCTCTGTCAGTTCTCTGAGCGCTGCCATCCCTGAACTCCAAAGCCCATGCACTTCTATCGAAACACAGTATTAAGCTCTGTGTGGGATTCTAGGCTGCCACTGAAAACACTCTGGGCTTCACTGAAGTATGTGTGTGTGCGCACATACATGTGATGGGTAATGTGTCTCTCCATGTGGAAGGCCAAAGGGAAAGGTCACATGTCTGGAAGAGGCTTGTGCCTGTGAGGCTGTCTGATATACATGGGAGAGGGGTTCTCCATGCTAACTGTGCTGGGGGTCACTCTGTGAGGCTATCTCCTAACTTCCCCAACCTTCCCTCTTCTCTCTCCTTCCCCTTTCTCTTTCTTGGGTGGGTCTCATGCTTTGGCTTTCCTTCCAGATTCCCTGTCCTTTTCTCTTTGATCTTCTGTTCAATTCTACAATCTTTCATCTAAACAATGACAACAAATACTACCAGATGACAAACATGTTCTTTCCACGGATATAGTTGTCATTGGAAAAACTAAGAATGATTGGTTTAGAAGCTCAAAAAAGAATGACAAATAGGCAAAGGTCTGCCTGAGAAGCCAAGGCCTGCACACCTTTGCAGAGAGTGGAAAATGAGGGGGAAAGGAAGAAGAAAAGCCCAATGTACCCAGACAAGTCTCAGGAGGCAGAGCCCCAGTCCAGGTGCAGATGCCAGTTTTGGATAGACTGTTCCTCCCTCCTCCAGGGCAGGAAAAGAAAAGACAGAGGATGGCTCAAAAGTAACAGGCCTTGGGATTCAGGCAGGCTATCTGCCCCTCCTCACCAGACTTCACCTGAGCAAGAAGCCTCACCTTTGGCCTGACCATGACGAGTGTAGAAAGGGCTGAGAGTAAAGGAGTAGGGAGAGCTGAGAATGGGCGGCACCATTTTCTAGCAGGTCCCACCTGCAATGGCCCTTAGAATTCCCCAGCAGTTATCTGTTAAAGAAGGAGCAGATAGGAAGATGCTGGGGTACCCCTTCTCATATCTATCTTCAAAGACCCCACCATCTAAGTGTCTCTTGATTGAGACTGAATGACATCTAGGCCTTGACTAGGTGTTGCAGAGTCTGCGATATTGCACAATTATTCATCACATGGAGAACTCCATGAAGGCCCAGTGCAAGCAGGAAGGCAAGCAAATTTGGTAGGGTTAGTAAACAGGAAGGATAGAGAGGAAGCTACAATGAGGTTAGAAGGAAGCTGTAATCAAAACAGAGAGAATGAAAAGTAGAAAGGAGAAAGGGGCAATGAAAGGGCTTTCAAATGGTTGCATGGTGTCAAGAGTCACCCTGTGTTTGGGAAGTATTGGAGGAGCCCTCTTCAGGTAAGGGCAGAGATTCCTAGAAGCAAATCCACACTCTCTAAGCTGTGTAGCCAGGCAGTGAAGGACTTGAGATAAGGACTTGGTGAGTCCTCTTAGAGCAACCTTCTCTATGCTAATCAATGGGTTTTTTTTTTGAGGGAGGGAGGTAACCTCTGTACAGATGACAAACAATACCAGTGTGAGTGTGAGGGGCTACAGTGTGGCTTCCAAAGGCACAGAAATGGCAATGACAAGAGTAGAATGGAGTTGAGAATGTCTAAATAGACGGGACACAGACTTGTAGATAAGAAAATAGCAGTGACAGGGCAGTGAGACAGGTTCCTAGATGCTGTGTAAGGAACCAAAGAACACAGAGGCACCATGACATAGCTGTAGGGATATGAGCCTGTGACCTTCACCTTGACCTGGGAATGGCAGGAATAGTGGCTGATGGAGAGAGCACAGCGCTCATGGTTTCCTAGGGGACAGGAGACACACAGAATTTGCACAGAAGTGGCATGCTGAAAGAGTTCTGGGGTCTGAAAACACTCCTAAAGAAAGCAGGGGCCCCAAATAAGGTAATCTATTACAAGGGCTTCATACCTCAATCCTTTTCTATTTAAAAACATACAAACCCTCCTACCTGTTCTACAAGGGATCAAAATGAAATCTAGACCAAGAGTATCTGGAAGGCATTTTTAACAAAGAACAATTTTCAGAATACAGCGAAGTGTAAAAAGACATGGCAACACAATGTGGGCACAGTTCCTGATCAACCAAGAAACTACAAGGTGCTGGAGAGATGGTTCAGCAGTAGAGCACTGGCTGCTCTTGCAAAGGACCTGTGCTCAATTACTCAGTACCTACATGATGACTCACAACTATCTGTAACTCCAGTCTCAGGGGAATCCAACACCCTCTTTTTCTGGCCTGGGCAAATATTCATACACAAATAATAAATAAATAACAAAGATTTTTTTTTAAAAAAAAATTCCAGGGTGAAGGTGGTGGAGCACACCTTTAATCCTACTTCCAAGTCAGTTGGTCTACAGAATGCGTTCTAGGACAGTCAAGACGAAACAGAGAAACCTTGTCTCCAACCCATACACCCCATCCCCACCATAAAAGGGAAACAATCATGTCTATCCTTTAATCCCAGCACCCATGAAGCAGAGGTAGGTGGATCTCTCTGTGAGTTCAGGGCCAACCTGTGCCAGCCTGCTCTACAGAGTGAGTTCCAGGATAGCCAAGGCTACACTGAGAAACCCTGTCTTGAAATACAAAAATATCAAAACAAAACAAAACAAAACAACAACAAAAACAAGGAGGGGGACAACAGTCTTCTAGAATTTACTCTTCTAAAATTTATACATCTAGTACAGAACTGAGAGAAAGTGTGACTGAGAAAACCCATCGGGACCAGAAAGATCACAATACAGAGAAACAGGCAGCTCACTCAGCACTGTGCTCTTAGACTGTACATGTGGCTTCTTAGGAAGAAGCTGAACCAAAAACATCCAAATTTGGGTGACCATAATACCTCTAAGCTTCTAAGCTTCTAGCACACAAGGTGCCTACCTAGGTAGCCTTTTCAGAGAGGATTGAAAAAAAAAACACCATGGTTGACTGACCTCCATCATCCTGAATCAATGGCCAATCTCAAAGTATCGGATCCTAAGAAGGCCTGTGGTCCCCAAAATGAAGCCTTTCTCTTGAAGCTCCAATTTCTGGCAGATGCCAAGGGCACTACGAGCCCTTATCAACATCAACTAATACGAACTGTTCAAGACAATGCTTCTTAATACACTACACCAGAGAGAAATCATTCATAAGGAAAACAGATCCAAGATATCAAATAGAGCACCATCTCCAGCACACTCCTGGAGGGAGTGAGGGTGCTTTTGTAGGTATTACGCTTCCACGAGCCATCCATCCCTGTATGGTATGCCATCTTGGAAAAAGAATTCTGTCTGGACAACTTCAACTTGCAGATAGAGAAGGAGAGTCTCAAGCCAATGATGTGTGGATACAAGGCTTCTTTCCTTCCCTCCACTAACACATACCCAACAGTCAACTCCTGGAAAAGATCAGCGGATTACATGACTGGGTGCAGTGACACATTGGTAATCCTAGCACTCAAGAAGCTGAGGCAGGAAGACTGCTGTGAGCTTGAGGCTGGCTTAGGGTATATAATAAAATCCTGTCTCAAAAAAGAAAGCAGTAAAATAAAACAATGAAATTAACAAAAAGAAGTAGGAGAAGGTCTACAAAAAGGAAAAAGAGGGAAAACAAATTCAGAAGGCCCAAATTACACTTGAGGGCAAGTCTGCTGGGACATGCCAGGGTATGGCTGAAACCCAAGGGATCTTGCACATCCCAACAGTTCCTGTTACGAGGTTCCAATGTGTCTTAGTGGGAAAAAGTATACAATTTTTTGGTGCTTGGCTTCTCTACAGTGAGAAGTGCTAAAAATAACAGCTATTCTCTTGATCCCTTCAGAAAGTCATGTCATAAAGTACTTTGCTGTCAAGTGCTCCAAACCCAGTAACATTTAGACTATGTTTAACTTAGTGTTACCTGCTGCAGTTACAAGCTAAAGCCTTTACATTTCCAGGTCATTCATGGAGAAGGAAGGGGAGGATAGGGTTCTGGGAAGCCTTACCAGCAGTAGTCCAGCAGGTGTGGGGGCAGCACCGGAATGTACACGTGTTGCCAGTACATGGGGTAGAGCATGGCTGCTGAGCCATGGATACAGGCAGTTAGCTGGAAAAAAGAGGAACAGAAAGTCAGATCTCAAGGCAAAGTTGAGGAAAATGCTGCCAAAATTAAGGAATCAAAGTCACAGCAAAAACAACTTCAAGTCAGAGGTGCCCACTCCACCTCAATGCAATAGACTTTCTCTTCAAAATATGCATTTCATGCCCTGTTCCCTGATTATAAAGCTAAGATGAGGCTGGAGCAGGGGGTGCAGCTCAGTGGTAGTGCTTGCCTAGCATGCCTGAGATTCAGGTCCAATCCCCAGGATCACCGCCCCCCTCCCAAAATGAATGAATAAAAGACTTTAAAGTTCATGTACATTTAGAATGTAAATTTGAGAAAATGAAGAATATGATAAAAGAATTGGTATTTTTTGAAAATTATTTAACATTTTCAGATATGGGACATGTAAGCACTTACAGTTTCTTTTCTAATGAAACTAGAATGACTGTAAATATAATGCTTTCTCTTTTTATATTGACATTATCTGATACTTAACTTTCCTACATCCTTAAGCAGTCTTAGGAATCACACCCTCTCACCATTTTCTGTGTATTCCTTATACCTATTTTGCTGCTCTCTATCATGGAGTTACACACTTGTATTTGGATATACGATTTCTGGATGCAGATTCCAGAGCTAACTATGGCTCACAGACACAGTACCACGGTACTCAGCTGGCAGAGGATTGTAAGTGAGGATGTCTGTGCAAGTTTAACTGACAGGGCAGAGGCTCACGCTGCCTCCCCGGGACTAAGCACGGTAGTCAGGTTTAAACTTACTTCCATTTCACTTTTATTTTCACCCCTCTGATTATCATGGAGGATGAATATTTTTTGTCATGTTTACTTGACTCTATTTCTTAGGTAATAAGTCCTATTTCTTAAGCCTGTTCTTTTCATTCCTGACTTTTAAAAGGAGAGCTAGTATCTTTAAAAGTGATTTATAAGCAAACACGGAGTTCTTGGAAAAAACATCATTTGATGTGATGTTTTTGACAAGTTAATCTCCATTTTCTTCAAGTCTCTGAGAGAAGAGGTTTGGATGACTGTTTGGACAAGCCTTTTCTTTAGTGATGAGCACCACTCTTTGTCCAAGGAATTATCTCCAAAATTTCTACAAGCATCTAACTCCTAAATCTGGCCTTTAGATCTGAGGTAAGAGTCTACTTCTTCCACCTAGTTGATCCATTGCTCCAGCATCCTTTGTGGGATTACCCTTCCCCACTTCTCTCAACAAGCTCCTGCACTGTGTTTCTTCTCTTAATTCTTTTCTTAAGAGCCAGAGATGGCAGTACAAGCAGTAACTGATAAAATTAAAAGTGGATAGGGAAAGATAGTAAAAAGCAATACAATCTCTGTAAAGTTCAATATGACAACCCTGCAGACCCAGTTACTAAGTGATAACAGTCAACAATATATGTTTCTGTCTCTTTTTCCTTATGTTTCTTTGGTTTCTAGGAAGCCTGTCAGTATGAGGTCTTTGCTTTTTTTGGAAGCTGGTAACCGGCCTTTGTTGACAGAGGGACATTTATGTGGTGAAAGAGTGACATACCAATACCCAGTTAAAAGAATCCCAGAGGTTAGTAAAAACAACCAGTTTAAACTGGGTATGTTGTTAATGCTTCACAGTTGTTAAGCTGTGTATTGAGCCAGGGTGCTATGTCCCTCACCCACTCTTTTCACTCATTCTTTAAGTCAGGTACATGTGGGGAGGAGATCCAGGGAGTGTGGACAGCTGTTCCCAGGCACTGAGGTCCCCAATCACCTGTGCTAGTCCATTCTGTAGGTTCTCTCATAGAGGCAGCTGCCACACGGAAGACTGCTATGATCAGTTTCTCAAGGGTTTTAGAAGGACAAACATGGTGATGAGGAATGGAGGACAAATCACCTTTACTTTGATGTCATCTGCAAGTCTGGCTGGGGGGGTCACAAAAGCCTTGAGCACCAGTTCTTTTGCTCATCTTTAACCAGCTGCCAGAGTATTTTTGTTGATGTGCACATCACTTCTTGCTTGCCAGCCTCTAGGGCTCAGCTGGAATAGAATGCCTGTGCCAGTTCTGGTCTATCTGAGAAGGACCATCTCAGCCAACCTCAGCTGCCTCCCAAGGTGTGCCCTTGGGACACACTATTTGCAGAAGTAAATGAATACAAAAGTAAAAGCTATAAACCTCTTTCCATCCCTCATACCATTCCATTCATCTTTCAAACCTGCTGGGGTTTGTTCTGTGAGCAAACTCTTCTCTCAGGCCTCTGAAGGAGTGCTTCTTTCCTCTCTGAAGCCTTACCTTGACTCGCTGTTACTAACTGAACTAGAATAGACTGAAGATTTCCCCTGGCTGTGAAGTACATGAAATCCTCTTTTTCATCTCCACACTTCTCAACTGAATGCATCTAAATGCTTGTCAATGCAGTGTGCACACTGATTAAAAAACAAATGACCTGATTGACTACTATTTAGACTATATCAACAACATAAAGATAGCTAGTAGGTTGGCTTACATAATAAGCCAAATATTCACCATTTCATTAGTTCCACAAACTCATATTCCAAAACAAGGACAAGCTTAGATATACAAATATATCACTTTTGGAAAAATTAAGTCATTCATCCATCCATCCATCCACCCACCCACCCACTCCTGTGTCTATGCACATTAAACAGATAAGTTTAAAAGCCAAAATTAATTTTATAAATATATAAGTGCTAAAAAATCTATCTGGTACTAAGCAACAGTATTATATAAATTTATTTGTGATTGTCATGTTTTTCACTAGGATGCTTTTGCTTGATTTCCTGTTTCTTGTTTGCTTAAACTATTTTGGGCCAAATCTTACCTCCAGGCATCATTTTTACCATTAATCCTTAATCTCAAATAAATATACAAGATTAAATGATAAGATTTTGAAACTTTATTAAAAATAAACAAAGCCAGAAGCTTTTAAGGTGCTCCATCAGAGAGTTACTAAGGTCAAATCTCTAAACTTTGGGTGAGACACATTCACCCATTTGATTAAGAAAACAAACAAAGTAAGAGGGCATTGTTTGGCTCTTTTCCAAAATACAAAGTGACACCTATTCTATGTACCATTAAGAACAGTGGCTAAGCTGACTGCAATGGGGTCTCTCTTTATTTACAGTGATCCAGAAATGATATAAAAAGTCCTAGGCTACACTAATTCCCTATAGAGTATAAAATCTTATGTAATGAAAACATACAATAAGGAATATAGTCAAAAAAGCGGTATTGTGAATATTTAATTAAAGTGTAAGCTGAAAAAAAATGATTCTATCAAATATCTCACTTGGTGGGAGAATAGATAGTATGTGTAAAATGTGCCCAAAGTCATAAGTTACAATGAATATTCATCAGAAGCCAATTATCAATCCCATTTAATGACAACTCAAAAGATTTTGCCCTAAAGCAGCAGAACAGTCTAAGGCTCCAGACAAAACTACACAAATTATATAGTCAACAGTCAGTCTAGCCAGGACATGAGTTGTAAAGTAAACCACTGGTGGGTGGTGGTGGCACTTTAGCAAATCCTTCCTCAATTAAAGGTGCACAAGGTCACTTACATCTAAGAGCTTTGTATATGATTCCATTACTTTCCTGTGAGGCTGGGAAAAGGAGAAACAATGATGTGGGTAGAACATGAATGGAGAATGATCAATGATATAGGTGAAAGAAATCACAAGACACCATTTGTATTCTTTTTTGTTTTCAGTTTAAGGTATTTCTCAGAGACAACAGATGGTTAAATAATAAGATTCCAATGTTTCATCTGATTTAATACAGGATTAAAAATAAGACCCCATTCTAAAACAAAAATACCTGTAATACGTGCAGCAGGCACTGGATTAGGGTGGAGGTCATGGGAAGCCATGGTCTAGAGATATGCTCAAGTGGTTACCCAGGCACACTCTATCACACTCCACAGACAGAGAAACAGTCTTAGAGGTGAAATAACTCATCCAAGGTCACAAGGTGACAGAAGTAGGACTCTCATAGAGGTCCTGTGAGATGACAAACTCTATTTCCATATCACATAAATTAAAATAAAAAAGCATTTTTTTGTGCCTACCTGGTGCCATTGCTGTACAGAGGATTCCCTCTCAACACGGCCCAATTGTATTAATCCTCATTTACCTTACTGTTAGATAACCAAATATCTAGGGCAGAGTACCAATAACAGGAAGTAATCATTCTTTCTTTCTTTTTAAAAAACGGGATGAAGAACAGACAAGTTTTATTACATGCCCGAGACATGGGAGTACTGGACTACAAAAATCATCATTTGAAAACCCACACATCTGATCACTTCCTGAGGACTAGTCAGTTAACTAAGGTGTTATGGTGTCTTTAATCCTCAGGGAATTCTAGACAAGGAAGTAATAACTGCTAGTCACAGAAAGGTTTATAGGCTGGTCTGAACATACAGATCAGAAAGTCTTGCTTTCTGTCATTTTCCTTCTCACACACTTACAAGGAAGTCTTCCACTAATTGTCGTTTTTTTTATATTATCTCTGATTTCTTTCTTTTTTTTTCAAAGTTTATTAAATTATGAAAGTTTCCATTTCCGCCCCTCCTCCCAACACCCTCCCACTCCCCTCCTCCCCCTCCCTCTCCATCCCTAAGAGCAGTCAGGGCTTCCAGCCCTGTGGGAAGTTCAAGTTTCTCCCCCCTCCCTCCAGGTCCAGGAAGGTGAGTATCCAAACAGACTGGATCCCAAAAATCCAGTATATGCAGAGGAAACAAGTCCCAGTGTCATTGTCAATGGCTTTTCAGAAAGGCTCTGGGCCAGCCACATTCAGAGAATCCAGCCACATTCAGAAAATCTGGTTGGATGGGGTGCTGATCTGAACAGAGAATTCTCAACAGAAGAACTCCGAATGGCCAAAAGACACTTAAGGTCATGCTCAACATCCTTAGCGATCAGGGAAATGCAAATCAAAACAACTATGAGATACCATTTTACACCAGTCAGATTAGCTAAAGTCAAAA